GAGCAGGGAGCCCGATGTGGGACTCGATCCCAGGACCCTGGGATCATGACCTGAGCCGAAGGCAGACGCTTAACGACTGAGCCACCCAGGCGCCCGATACTGCTGATTTCTTATTCAAAATCCAGCCTTTCCTTTTGTTCTACTACCAGAACTTCCCTAAACGCAAGTGGCCCAATGAAAGACTTTTCCAGACTCCCCAACAGCTACAGATGGCCAAACAGTGTTAGAAGTCACTGGGGTTGGATTCCAGATGGTTCTTAAAAGGGAGCTGACTTATACTCTTTTTCCACTTCTTCCTGACAAAAAACAGACAAGGCAGCTGGGGCACCAGCAGTAATCATGGACCATAAAACATCTTTAAAGGAGAAACCCTTGCTGAGCATGGTGCCACAGAAAGAATGAACCCTAATCACTGATGACGTCAGAGCAGCCCTAATAGCCCTTGATAGTTTATAATCTAGACTCTGTGTGAAAAATATAAGAATAATCCTGGCAGCAACATGAAGATACAGTGGAAGGCAAGAGAGCACAAAGATAAGGTGGCAGGTTAAACAAATATCACATCAGTACAGGGCAAGGATGACTGCCACCTGAAGTAAAGCAGAGAAGGACAGAAGAGGTTCAAGAGATTTCTCACCAATCCAGTAAGGAGAACTAGGGAGAAGAAGAGGCATGTGTATGCAGCCTGGGATAGAGGGGGAAGGAAAGAGATAAAGAGAACAAAGAGGTTTCGAAATGGGGCAATGGGTAGCTACCAACAAAACTTAAACTAAGGCTGGAAGAAAAACAGTTATTTCATTTTAGATTTTGTTTTTGTTTGATTTTTTTAAATGGGTTTGGGGTTTTTTTTGTTTTGGGTTTTTTTTTTTAAAGATTTTATTTATTTATTTGAGAGAGAAAGAACGAGACAGAGAGAGAGGGCATGAGAGGGGGGAGGGTCAGAGGGAGAAGCAGACTCCCCGCTGAGCAGGGCACCCGATGCGGGACTCGATCCCAGGACTCCAGGATCATGACCTGAGCTGAAGGCAGTCACTTAACCAACTGAGCCACCCAGGTGCCCCATGGGTTTGGGATTTTGTGTGTGTCGTTCAATTTAATTTTAATGGAGTTTAAGGAAGCAGAATGACAATTGGGGAAGCTACATTTATTTTCAAAAGCTACAAAAGGAGAACTGACACTCAGAAAAAAATATTAGGAAAAAAGAATTAGAATTAAAAGTCAGAATACAGCTACACCCGCCAAAAAACTGAATGTTAGCAAGAATTTTTAAAAGTCAGAGCATAGGTGATGATTGACATTATGACAATAGATTTTTTTTCTATTCATCCCATTCAACATATATATGAATGCCTACCATATGTTAGTCACTCTTCTAGTCACTGGGGTACCGTTAGGTTCCAAATAAAGATCTTTATCTTTAGAACTTACATTCTAAAAGCAGAGACAGACAATTTTAAAAACTAATATGTAGTGTTAAGTCCCATATAGGAAAAAAAAAGTAAGGGGATAGTGTGTGACAGGACATTTTAGATAGTAATCAAAGAAGGCTTGGGGGAGGGGGTGACCTTTGCACAAAGAACAGAAGGAATGGAACAACGCATATGATTATCATATAAATGTGTGGAAGAGAGGAGTTCTAAGCAGAAGGGAAAATATTTGCAAAGGCCTTGTGGAAATAACACTTCCAGCAGGTTCAGGTAACAAAAAGATGACCTGTAGGTGTCAGGAACAAACTGAGCAAGGTAAAGGGACAAAAAATGAAATCAGAGAGGAAGCCAGTGTCCACAAGAGTGAAGAGTTTCTATTTTATCCTAACTGTAACAGGAAACCTTTCTGAAGGGGTAGCAAAGGGACCTGACAGATATGACTTATGTGTGGAGAAAAGTTTAGTGGGACAAGAGTGAGAGGAGAAAGACTAATTATTAGAAGGCTACCGTAGTTTCCCAGATGAGAACTGATGAAGGTTTAGACAAGGGGAGGGAGGGGTCAGATTTGGGAAGTTTTGATAATAGAACCTAAAGATTTGATAATAGAACCTAAAGATTTCTTGATGGCTTGAGTTAGGTCCTCAATATAGGTCTGTCTTATTCACTAGTCTCCTTTCCACATAGCTTAGCATCCTCAACTGTAAAATCAAGACTTTAAGTTTTGTTAGTTCATAAAGGCAACACCCTGGGCATGAACCTTAATATTCTATTCTAGTTACTAGATACACAGTTACTAGCTACTAGATAAACAGCATGATTATCCCTTTTGAATGACCTACCAACTTAGTATTTCATTTCTAAACTTTAGAATTTTATTAAAAGCTCCTCAAAGATGAGCACCATTATCATTCTAGAGTGTTATCAGTTGTTTAAAGTTAACAAAGGTACATATAGAATTGACATAAAAAAAGATTTTTTTAAAGTATTAAGCAGTGATATAATAAGAAATAGATAATTGGTTTTTGCCCCCCTGGTTCCTGACACAGGGCTCCTAAAACCCTTATTATTTCCTGAGCGATAGGAGTGTTAGGAGTACCTTTTGTTCTAATATTTGGTCTTTAACCCCAGTTCCTTATATAAGAGCTTCTAAGACTCTTGGAAACCCCTGCAGTGTTTAAGAGTATCTTTCTGCATGCTAATGAGGTGACTGATCCCTGGGGGCCCCTATATAGCTTCGAGATGGAGACTGCTCACCAAAAGGACAAGGCATGATTAGAAGGTTGAACTTTCTGTCCCACCTCCTATCCTCAGGGCTGGAGATATAGTTAATCACCAGCAGCCAAAGATTTAATCAATCATGTCCACAAAATGGAACCCCCATAAAAACCCTAAACAATAGGTCTTGGAGAGCTTCCAGGGTGGTGAACATATCTAAGTACCAGGAGGGTGGCAGAGTCCAAACCAGAAGAGGACAGAAGCTCCTGTGCTCAAGACTTCCAGACCTCACCCTATGCATCTCGTCCTTTGGGCTATTCCAGGGCTCTATCATTTATAATAAATCAGTAATAGTAAACAAAGTGTCTTCCTTCAATCCTGTTAGTTATTATAGCAAATTATCGAACCCAAGGAGGCAGCTGTAAGAACCCCCAATTTGTAGCCAAGTCAGGCAGAAGTTGTAGGTAACCTGGGAATCCACTCCTTGTGATTGGCATCTGAACTGGAGGGCAGTCTTATAGGACTGAGTCCTTAACCTCTGAGATCTGGGCTAAGTGGGCAGCTAGTGTCAGAACTGATTGGTGTGGAAAACTCACACATTTGATGTCAGAAGTGTTCTCTGGGTAGAAGAAAGAGTTTCCCTTTAATAGCCAAGGTTAGTTAACCTTTCTAGGATTCCTGCCCTGGGAACTCTAACTGCAGGGACCAAGTGGGACAGCAGCCATCTCTCAGAGGTAGAAGGCTAGTGAACTAAGAAAGAATAAATGTACACAGAAAGTCAGGGAGACACTAATCTGAGAGAATTTAATAATCACTGGGTTTTAATCATTCAATTTTCTGAGGTACAAATTCTAAGATTAAAGTAAATGAAAAGCTCATGGAGCTATCTAATCTATGATGCATGTGGAAATTTTCCATAATACTCAACGACAAGTTTAAACATTCTTTTGAGAAAAAAATTAAATATGTCATTTCAAGTTAGGTTGTTTTGACTTTGTTCTAAAAATAAAGGAAAAACTGCAACATAAGCAATTATAAAGACCTAGAAGAGCAGAAAAGGAAAAATACTTCAATTACCTCAATTTTGGTATCTCAGTTTGTGCTAACAGAAAATAAATAGTTGAATGTGGAGATCTATTATAATATATTTGTCAGGCAAAACAACAAAGCTTAACTATAGGATTGAAAACTGAGCTATAGCCTCAATAAAACAGTTTGCAAAATAAATTAAGTTCTAAGCTAAAGAATTTTGAACAGCTTTTTTTCTTCATGTACTAATTTACACAATAATCTGGAACTTCCTGTGCTTCTGTTTTTTCGTATAAAAAAAGGTAGAAAAAATTATTTTTCCAATCTGGAAAAGGTGTGAAACATAAGTATATTTAGATACTCAGCCTTAAGTCATACAATTGGAAAGTGTTTGTCATTAATAATTTAGTAACAAAAAATGTCTTTCTACCTTTGCAACTGAAATTCCATAGTCCTGGAGAGGTTTAACAGCCTCATTCAGTTCTTCAAGAAATACAGAGGTTCTTGGAGAATCTAAAATAAGAAATGTTTTATGAATGTTTTATGGCTTGCTCCTTAGGAAAGATGAATTTTTAAAATTAAAGCCCAAAGCTGCAAACTGAAGAAGAAATAGATTAGTTTGCCCCACAAGTAGACAAAACAATAAATAAAGTAAACATACCTAGTTATATATTTTTACACCCTTATTTCCTATTGCCTCATTATTCTTATTTCTAATGTTTTTGTGATATATTTTAACTTTGTAAGTAAATTTTAAAAATTTCTAAAACAAGAATAGAATGTTTAATTTAAAGCTAACATTTGGCATTATTTTTCCAAGTTTAATACCACATACACAACACACATGGATGCATGCACAAAACTTTCAAAATGATTTTAAAGCTTTTTTTTATGAGAGAAAGAGAGAGAGAGAGAGAGAATGCATGCAAGTGAGGGGAGAGGCAGCAGGAGGGGAAGAGAATCTCAAGCAGCCTCCACACCCAGCACAGAGCCCATCGTGGGGCTCAATCTCACAACCCTAAGATCATGACCTGAGCTGAAATCAAGAGTCCAACACTTAACTGACTGAGCCACCCAGGAGTCCCTCAAAATGATTTTAAAATACCATTTTCAAATGACAATTATAAGAGAGCCAACAGAAATGTGGATTCATTTCACTTACTAATTCCAAGAATAGTTTTTTTTAAGGGATAAAGACTTAATGAGACCATTACAATTTTTAGTTACGTTCAATTGGTTAATCAGTGTAATTAATGGTACAGCTGAAGCAGAGTATTAAACAAAAGAACTACTGATACTTCGTTTAAAGTTTTAAAACACTTTTAAAATATTTGTTCACTAAAAATACCAAAAAGTATACTTTGAGAAATGACTAGATGAAATTCAGATGTTATTCACTAATTCTTATCTAGTATTTACTATGGACTAGTAACATGAGTAAATTCATTTAATCCTCACAACAAATTTACAAAGCAAATATTATTTCCTCATTATGGATGACAACAAAAACAGAGAGGCTAAGTGACTTGATCAAAATCATACAGTGGCACAATCAGGATTTAAACTCAGGCAGACATATTTTAGTAGCAGCTTTATAGCACATAATACTAATCCTGACAATAAATTCCCACTGAGAATATTGATTAAATAGCAATAGAAACATCACAAAAATAATGTAGAATATAAAAAATACTTACCAGCTTGACAAAAATAAGCCAAGGAGGCTTTTCCTGGTTGCAATGTACTGAAATATTTCTGAGGACTCAGTTCTGATAGAGAGTCTACTGCTGACTTATAAAAAACGCACATCATAACAAAAGAGATGCCAACTCTAAATATATTGAAACTGAAAGACATCATCAGCTGTAGTTGTACATGGGCAGGAGATTTTCGTCTGTTTTGTTCAGTGTTGTGGTTCTGTTGCCTAGGATAATACCTAGCAAGAATAGGTGTTCAACAAAGTTTTGCTGAATAAATTTGTTAAACAAATGAATGAAGTAAAATCTGCAAAAAGAATAATATAAGGCATTACTTATATATTTGATTTTGCCTGTACTTTCCTATTTCCCTCTAGTAAATATTTGAGAGGGATGACATAAAATGACATTGATTTAATACTATTGATTTTTGATACTTGCAAAAGATATAAAAGATATCTAGAAAAAGCAACATGAAATATTTTAAGTTTAATAGGTATTTACTAGAGTATGTTAAGCTAATTGTCATTTTTAAGGGTTCTAAAATTAATTCTCAAACATTATTTAATCCTTGTTTTAAATTGGGCATTTTATCTTTCTCTACCTAGAGCAGATTTACAATCAATACTCAGTTATTTAATACCATTAAATGGGAGTGAGACATCCAAAATCTGTATCTACTATGTCTACATTCTTTTTACTTTAAATTCCCTAGAAGATAGCAATTAAAACTATTTAAAGAACATTCCTTCTAAATATACTTTTAATACATGACTTAGACTTACTTATACAGTTTAGAAATTCAAGCCTCTTTTTCAACCCATATTTTAATTCAACTCTATCTTCTGAACTCAGATTTGTTTTAGATATCCTCCTCTCATCTTCTTTCAAGCTGTACTTACTTCTATGCTATCCTCTGCACCTGTTGTCAATTCTTTGTCTTCTATTTTGCTACCTTCAAATTTCTCTTGAACAATTTCTTCTTTCAGGAAGTTTTTCTACTGATGATCTATACTACCTAAGTTTAAAAAAAGATAGTTTGGGAAAATTAGTGTAACATAAATACATCATACTTCTAGAAGGTAAAGATACACCCACAAGCATAGGTGAGAATTTTAATTTTTTTTTTAATTTCAAACAGAACCCGTACCTTTCAAACAAAGGATCACTACCCCAAAACAAGAGACAGTAAAAAAATAGCTAAAAATTACTCATAAGAAGAGGGGTAGACTTTCTCAGTAAAGAATAAAACGATAAAAGAATGAAAAACTTAGGGACAATTACACTAAATTGGATATTTACTTCGCTCTCTCTTTTTTTAAGATTTTACTTATTTATTTGTCAGAGAGAGAGAGAGAGCATACACAAGCAGGGGTAGGTGCAGCAGAGGGAGAAGCAGGCTTCCGGCTGAGCAAGGAGCCAGGACTCTAGGATCACGACCTGAGCCAAAGGCAGATGCTTAACCAACTGAGCCACCCAAGCAGCCCTACTTTGCTCTTTCAATCTTATCAGTAAGCCTATAATTTCTCTCCTTAAGAAGCAGGTATTCCTATGATCCTATGCCTTGTTTCTTGAATTCCACATATGAGTGAGATCACATGGTAATTGTCTTTCTCTGACTTATTTCACTTAGAATAATACCCTCTAGTTCCATCCATGTTGTTGCATATGGCAAGATTTCATTTTTTTTTGATGGCTGCAGATCATCGGGGAAGAGAGAAAAAAAATGAAACAAGACAAAACCAGAGAGGGAGACAAACCATAAGAGACTCTTAATCTTAGGAAACAAACTGAGGGTTGCTGAAGGGGAGGGGGTGGTGAAGTGGGGTAACTGGGTGATGGACATTGGGGAGGGTATGTGTTGTAATGAGCACTGTGTATTATATAAGATTAATGAATCACAGACCTGTACCCCTGAAACAAATAATACATTATACGTTAATTAATTGAATTTAAATTTAAAAAAATTTTTTAAAGCAGGTATTCCTAAAAAAAAAAAGCTAATTACTCATCAATTACTTAACATTATTTTCATTAGAGCTAATTTATATCAGTGAACAAATCTGCCACTAATATTTAATAATGAACCAAGAGTTCAAAAACTCAAGTAGAATGAGTGAGGACTGTGAGTGGTATTTTTAATGATATAATTAAGGGGTATCCTTGATATTAACACTGATTACACATTATAGCCATTTTATTTATTTTTAATTTTTTTTAAGATTTTATTTATTCATTCGAGACACAGAGATACAGAGAGAGAGAGCATGAGCAGGGGGAGAGGCAGAGGGAGAGGGAGAAGCAGGCTCCCCGCCGAGCCAGGAGCCGGACGTGGGGCTTGATCCCAGGACCCTGGGATCATGACCTGAGCCGAAGGCAGATGCCCAACCAACTGAGCCACCCAGGCGCCCCACATTATACCATTTTAAACCAGTGTATTTTAAAGCCACTTATATTAATGGAAATGGTTTAAAATAGGTCATTCAATATTTTCTTTATTGGGCAGGGTGGGAAATGCATGCATCCTGAGGCTAAGGGAATAACTATATAATATCTGTTACTATATGAAATAACTAAAACACAATGAAAAGATAAAACTTTTAAATAAAAGTACATTTGAACAATTCAAGTATAAATATAATTTTTCCTGGGCTTGTGGTTACAATTCAGTTATTTTAACACTAAATTGGACAGTAGGGTTAACATATGATTCTTTTCCCATAGAATGAATTTTGTAGCAGCAAAAGGTCTAACTGCACATTCAGTGCTAGAATAGTTTTCCCACACCTATCTCATTGGACAAATGAAATTATAGATGTGGAAGTACTATGCATTTGGTCAATTAGAGATGTTGGTGATTATTCTCACATACATACTTTCAGGGACAGGAACTCATTAGTAACTATAACCTTTGCAGTTTATTCCATCTTTGATAAATTTGATTATTTAAGGAATTACTTAAAGCAGAGAATATTGCACAGGTCAGCCAGAAATAGTTTACATGGTTATAATAAAATAAACACTGAATAATGATTTAACCAAATTCAAGACAACCACAGTTCAGAGGATGGGGAGACAGAAATTAAGGAAACACAAAGTCAGGGTGGGAAGAGGAATAAAAGAGAGCTAAATCTTCGCTTTCACAACACCAAAAGCCAAGTTAATTAGAAATAGGAAAATCAATGCCAAAAGAAACAGGGAGCAATTTAAATAATTGCCTCTAAGGAATAAGAAATTGGAGGAGGAAGATACCAAGGGGACTTTTGGAGTCTTACGTAGAACCATCTGACTCTTTAAATAGTGTACCTTTTCATTTTGATTTTAAAAGTTAAAGTCATTCTATTTGGACTACGTCAAAATAAAAAGCTCTGCACAACAAAGGAAACAACCAAAAAACTAAAAGACAATCTACTGAATGGGAGAAGATATCTGCAAATGACGTATCCAAAGAAGTGTTAGAATCCAAAATATATAAAGAACTTACACAACTCAACATCAAAAAAAACCAAGTAATCCAATTTAAAAATGGGCAGAAGACAAGAACAAACATTTTTCCAAAGATGACATACAGATGGCCGACAGACACATGAAAATATGCTCAACATCACTCATCATCAGGAAAATGCAAATCAAAATCACAATGAGATATCATCTTGCGCCTATCAGAATGGCTAAAATCAAAAGCTCAAGAAACAAAGCGTTGGTGAGGATGTGGAGAAAAAGGAACCCTCATGCACTGTTGGTGGGAGTGCATACTGGTACAACCACTGTGGAAAACAGTATGGAAGTTCCCCCCAAAATTACAAATATAACTACCCTATGATCCAATAATTGCACTACTGGGTATTTACCCAAAGAATACAAAAACATTAATTCAAAAGGATTTACATACATTTATGCTTATTGCAGCATTACTTGCATTTGCCAAACTATGGAAGCGGCCTAAGTGTCCATGATTAGATAAAAGGATAAAGAAGTTGTAGAATATACACAATAAATTATTCAGCCATAAAAAAGAATGAAATCCTGTCATTTGCAACAACATGGATGGATCTAGAAGGTATAATGCTAAGTGAAATAAGAGAAAGACAAATACCATATGATTTCACTCAAATGTGGAAATTAAACAAAACAAATAAACAAATTAAAAATAGAGCTACAAACCAAAAAACAGACTCTTAACTATAGAGAACAGAGGGTTACCAGAGGGGAGGTGGGTTGAGGGGGATGGGTAAAACAGGTGAAGGGGATTAAGAGTACACTTCTCTTGGGGCACCTGGGTGGATCAGTCGGTTGAGGGTCCAACTCTTAGTTTTGTTTCAGGTTGAGATCTCAGGGTCCTGGTATCTAGCCTTGCCACCGGCTCCATGCTAAGCAGGTAATCTGCTTAAGGCTTCTTCCTCTCCCTCTCCCTCTGCCCTTCCCCAAGCTCACGTGCGCGCCCGTGCTCTCTCTTTAAAATAAATAAATCTTTAAAAAAAAAAAAAAAGGAGTACACTTCTCTTGATGAGCACTGAGTAATATATGAAATTGAATTGCTATATTGTATACCTGAAACTAACACAACAGTGTATGTTGATTACACTGGAATTAAAATAATACAAATGGGGCTGGCTAAGTTGGTTAAGAAACTGCCTTCCGCTTGGGTCATGATCCCGGAATGCCAGGATGGAGTCCTGCATCGGGCTCCCTGCTCAGCGGGGAATCTGCTTCTCCCTTTCACCCTCCCCCCTCTCGTGCTCTCTCTCTCATTCTCGCTCTCAAATAATAAAAAATTTTTTAAAAATCTAAAAAAATAATACAAATGAAAATTAAAAATTAGAATTACTTGTATGTAATCAAATATTCCATAGCGTCTATGCATATTAATTCAACCTATCCCTGTGGGGCCAAAGAAGAATGTTCATTTCACATGCATGGAAAATAAAATACATTTGCCCAGAGACATGTTCTCCATATAAAAATGTCTTTAAACCAAAGAGAAGGGAAGTATGAATGGGAAAGGGTAGGGGAATGAGAATACCAGTGAGAACAGAGTAAAAACAAAGATACAGAAGGTACTCAGTGACTCTCTTTCTTCAGTAAGTAGAAAATAGAATGAAAACGATACTTAATGATTCAAAATCTAAATATCGGGTGCCTGGGTGGCTCAGTTGGTTAAGCATCCATCTACCTTCGGCTCAGGTCATGATCTCAAGGTCCTGGGATCAAGTCCCTGCTCAGCGGGGAGTCTGCTTCTCCCTCACCCCCTATCCTCCCCCTCTCTTGCAAAAACAAATAAGTAAAAATCTTAAAAAAAACACACACACACAACATCTAAATATCAACAAAGAGATGAGTACCTTGGGAGAAATGTAACCTTGGTACTTTGGTGTAGTAGTTCATTGGTATGGGGTAAATAGCTCCAGTTCTCCTATAGAAGGTTGGATTATACTTAACTTCCTGCACTTCCCACCTCTAGTGAATTGGTTGTGGCCACCGGGTGACTTACTCTGGCCAATAAAATGTAAGCAAAAGTGGCATGTCTTGTTCGGGCAACAGTTTAACAGCTAGTCTGTGGTAGAGCAGGACTTACTTTCTTCTCTCGCAGTCATTAAAAATGCTCAGTTGGTGGCTACTCCTCAGCATGAGTCCCAGAATGAGCACAACACAGAGAACCCTCACTGATATGCAATGAGAATGTGACATGGGGGGAAATAAACCTTATTGTCATAAGCCACTGAGATTTGAGGGGTTATTATGGCAGCATAATCTAGTTTATCTTCACTGGTATACACACTAGAACAAGGTGCTACCTTAACAAGAACCCCAAACACTGGCTCAGAGGCCAAGGAGCAAGGACTGTTCAGGGCCTAATCAGGGAAACTTTCATCAGAGACTGGAGCTTGGCAATCCACATTAAGGAGTGACAAAACATTTGACAAAACGGTCACTACAATATTCTGGAGGTGACACACACCTAATGAATTTATAATGAGCATGTACGCAGACTTGTGTGGCTAATGAATGTATTTATGG